CCCCAAAACCCCAAAACCCCAAAACCCCGAAAGAATAAATTTTATTTGAATTTGTTTTTTTTATTTCTGATGTTAATTAATTTATAATCGTCTTTATTCAATAGGGTGGGAAATCACAGAATTCTTAACTAATCATTATTACTTAGGTGGCCTAAAGATATCTTTAAATTAGAGTAAAATAAAAAATAAATATTTATTAATAGTTATGGGATTGTGCTGCTCAGCCGCAGGAGCTTAAGATTAAGAGCATTTGTCTTAAAAACGTGATTAGAAAATCATATAACACGTAGAAGACTATACCTTGCCACATGGAAGTCTCAAACTTTCAGTGCATAATTGCGTATTAAAGGGACCAGTAACTGCTGATTCGGGATGGGCTTGTGATGGTCGTAAAATATTTGAAAAGTGCTAAGGAGGAATCACAGATTTCTATCAAACAGCCGGCAAAAAAAAGTATAATTGTGCGGAGCATGACTTCGACCTTTGCTTTGAATGTTGCCAATATGTTTACAAAAATGAAAAGATCTGTGAAGCAAGCAAATAAAAATGGTCTGGTTTCTGGCTTTAGGGATAATCTAAGGGAGAGATGAAATTTGAAAAATTACTCATTACAAAGAATACAGTTTTTGGTAATGGTGAAGATTCAATCGGAACTTTCATTATTTCTGGAAAAGTTCACGAAAACAATCAAACTTTGGGATTCAGAAAGCAATACTTAGGCAAACATTTAGTCACATATACTGGTGGGATTTCTAACTAGGGCAAAACAGTCTAAGGTGATTGGGATATAGGCGGTAGTACTACTGGTAAATTTGAGCTGAATTGCTAGTGACATTATTCTTGAATGATAAAGAAACTTCCCCTTTCTTAAATCACATAATTATATGTCTTTCATTGATCATCTTCTTGCTCTCATTAATTATCAGAAGTATTTTAAAAATATCTTTGAGTAATAGAGAAAGCATAGATGTCGATTTCATTAAAATTTTATTTGATTTCTCCCTTTATAAGTAATGTTTTAGCTGTATGGGGTTTTGGGGTTTTGGGGAGATCGGAAGAGC